GAACTCAAGATGGAAAGAATTCACTCACTCTCAGAAATAACATTCATATGCCACAAAAGATGCACCATGGGCTTGCCTGTAGTGTACAACTCTACTAATCGAGCTCATTCAGTCTAAGATCAAGTAGGACTTTAATTGGTTGTAATGTAGGTTGCGGGTCGGGTAGGATACATTTGGATGTAAGAGTGACTACACCTCCCTAAGTACTTTAATACATATACTTTAACATTCAAACCCCATACTTATATCAAACTATAACTCCACATTCACATCAATGTATATTAACTCCATACTTCTTTAAGCACAATTACATCAAGTCACCACTTTTAAGGAGTATTTTTCAATAACAATATAACTATATTTTTCTTTTTTCTTTTTTCAATTCAAGTAGCTCTTATTTTTTCAAAATAGTGCACCTTTCTCTTTATTTCATTAGTTCCACTCAAAAGCCAAACCAACTACCTCACACTTTAACTTTTACAAAGTTCATAATAATTCAAGTGCTCATGAGAGGTTAAAAGGTTCAAAATATGGGTTAATTCAAACAAATGGGTAAGACTTGTAATGTGGTTGCCAAGGAAACAGGATTACAGGCTCAAAGAGGTTAACTACGTTACATAACAATTAGGCGGGTAAACTACACATATCTGGCTCAACAAAGAAATGCCTATATCACTTCCAAGACTGACCAAAACTACTATTTCGCTTTGCAAACACACAGGGCAAGTTCTAGACATCAAATGCAATGCACAAAATAACACACAAACCTCACACACACATGGCACATAACTCACTCAGGATTGGACTCATCAAGACACTCTAGTCAAAGCAGTTAAGCAAAGTTAAGATCATACGATTTAAGATACTTATACAAGAGTCAAAAACTGAGCCTAAGTGGCATAACCAAAGTACTCACTATTCTCAAGGCATAACAAAGTCAAGAGATATTTATTCAATTCAATTCATCTCAAAGTGGCTCCTACTCCTAAAAAAATAAAACTACCTACACCCGGTTCAAACAAAACCCTTGAAAAAGAAATGCGGCACAAAGAAAAACCAAGGGGGAGTTATTACACTACCTAACAAAAAAGAATCTTTTTGTCCTTTTTATTTATACTTAAATCTCTCAAGAAACCTCCCGAATGAGACCCATCATCGGGAAAAATCCAATTTTTCTACTTTTTCTTTTTTGTGAATTGTTACTAAAATACTACACAACTCCGAAAACAAAAATAAGAAGTTAACATTTTTCTAACATCCTACTACTAATTATCTAAAGAATTCTCCCACACCACACTTAAAAGAGTGCAATGACCCCAATGCACAAATAAGCAAAACAATAACGAGGGTGGACAAGAAACTCCCTGAAAGGACAAAGGCCGAAACAATAGTGGCTCACGGGTACTCAGACTTCCCCCAAGCATGGTCCTTTGGGTGGCACCCCACACTTAGTTCTCACCATCTAATTCGCTTTTGCACTCTTCTAATGGCTTTGCTTACTATGCTTATAATCCTAAAAAACAAATACTACAACAATAATAAGAAAAACAAATAGAAATAAACGAAAGCAGTAAAGATGGGCTGCCTCCCAACAAGCGTCTGATTTAACGTCGCGGCACGACGCAAAATCTCGCTTACTCATTAGCGAGTACAACCTTGGTCTTCTCACGATCAATTATTCCTCCCTAATAATGCTTTACTCTGTGTCCATTCACCAAATATTTTCTTTCACCATTCAAAGCTCGCAACTCAATTGCACCATAAGGAGTGACTCTCACTACCTCAAACGGGCCTGACCATCTCGATTTTAACTTCCCAGAAAATAGCTTTAGTCTATAATTGAATAATAATATATGTTGGCCTGGCTCAAAGTGACGCGGTTTGATATGCTTGTCGTGCCATCTTTTTGTCTTTTCTTTGTAAAGCTTAGCATTTTCATACGAGTGCAGCCTGAACTCATTTAACTCATTCAACTGCAAGAGTCTTTTCTCGCCCGCGGCTTCAAGGTCCATATTTAACTTCTTAATGGCCCAATATACTTTGTGTTCAAGTTCAACAAGCAAGTGACATGCCTTCCCATAAACTAGCCTATACAGCGACGCCCCAATTAGAGTTTTGTATGCAGTTCTATATGCCCACAAGGCATCATCTAATTTTGCAGCCCAATCTTTTCTATTCACACTCACCGTTTTCTCTAAGATTTGCTTTATTTCTCTATTAGACACCTTAACTTGTCTACTTGTTTGAGGATGATATGCCGTCGCAACTCTATGGCGGACTCCATATTTAGCTAGAAGGTTATTCATCAACCGATTGCAAAAGTGTGTCCCTTCATCACTAATCAAAGCACGTGGAGTCCCGAATCTCGAGAATATGTTCTTTTTCACAAATGCGGCTACCACCATGGCATCAGTCATTGGCAATGCGATCGCCTCTGCCCATTTTGACACATAGTCAACTGTTAGCAAAGTGTATTTGTTTCCTCTGGACAATGGTAATGGTCCCATAAAATCTATCCCCCACACATCAAAAATCTCGACCTCCAGGATGTTATTTAAAGGCATCTCATGCCTCTTTGTGATTGTTCCTGTTATCTGATACTGGTCACACTTCTTAACAAATACATGGGCATCCTTGAATAATGTTGGCCAAAATAAACCGGATTGTAATACCTTTGCAGCTGTTCTATCACCTCCATGATGGCCTCCATAGGGTGATGCATGACAATTATACAACACTAGTTCGACCTCCTTTTCAGGTATGCATCTCCTCATTATTTGGTCAGCACACTGCTTGTACAAATATGGCTCATCCCAATAGTAGAAGTTCACATCATGTAGAAACCTCTTTCTAGCTTCAGATTCAATTTCAGGAGGAAGTACTCTGCTCACCAGATAATTCACATAGTCCGCGTACCATGTGGGAGCGTCTTAGGTGATAGCAAAAAGTTGCTCATCAGGAAATACTTCTTTAATTTGGCCACCCTCCTCCATGTGGTTGTGATTTTCCAGCCTTGATAGATGGTCAACTACTTGGTTCTCTGTGCCCTTTAGATCTCGTATTTCCGCATCAAATTCCTGCAACAAAAAAACCCAGCGCATCAATCTAGCCTTAGATTCCTTCTTTGTAAATAGATACCTGATTGCTGCATGATCGGTATTGATTATGACTTTTGTTCCCACCAAGTATGCCTGAAATTTCTCAAAGGCCCACACCACAGCTAACAACTCCTTTTCAGTGGTGGTGTAATTCAGCTGCGCATCATCAAGAGTCTTACTCGCATAGTAGATGGAATAAAATATTTTATCCTTCCTCTAGCCTAGCACTGCCCCAATAGCATGGTCACTTGCATCACACATAAGCTCAAATGGTAAGGACCAATCCGGTGTGGCAATAATGGGGGCAACCACCATCTTCTTTTTAAGCTCCTCGAAAGTTTTCAGGTAGGCGTCGTCAAAATTGAAAGTCACATCTTTTTCAAGCAACCTGCACAAAGGAGCAGCAATTTTAGAAAAATCTTTAATAAAGCGTCGATAGAATCCCGCGTGTCCCAAGAAACTCCGGACACCCGTCACAGAAATGGGTGGAGGTAATTTTTCAATCGCCTCCACCTTCGCCTTATCAACTTCAATGCCGCTCCTAGACACTCTGTGACCCAACACGATGCCTTCCTGCACCATAAAATGGCACTTTTTCCAATTCAATACCAGATTTATTTCTTCACAACGGGCTAATACCTTGCTCAAATTCTTTAAACAATCATCATAAGAAGACCCAAAGACTGAAAAATCATCCATAAAAACTTCCACAAATTTTTTCACCATATCAGTGAAAATAGCCATCATGCATCTCTAGAAAGTAGCTGGAGCATTACAAAGACCAAACGGCGTTCTCTTGAAGGCGAAAGTGCCATAAAGACAAGTAAACGTGGTCTTCTCCTGATCCTCTAGGCATATGACGATCTGGTTGTACCCCGAATAACCATCAAGGAAGTAATAATAATCATGCCCCGCCAATCTGTCCAACATTTGGTCAATGAATGGAAGCGGGTTGCGGGTTGCTTTGTTGAGCTTTCTGTAATCAATGCAAACTCTCCACCCTATCACAGTGCGAGTAGGAATTAGCTCATTTTTTTCATTCTCAACCACAGTCATCCCTCCCTTTTTAGGCACACATTGTACTGGGCTTAACCAGTTGCTGTCAGAGATGGGAAAGATGATACCTGCATCGAGCCACTTAATTACTTCCTTTTTCATGACTTCTTTCATGATAGGATTCAATCTCTTCTGCTGCTCAACACTGGGGTGGTGTCCATCTTCCAGAAAGATTTTATGCATGCAAAACGATGGACCAATTCCTTTGATGTCAGCAATTGTCCACCCTATAGCCTTTTTATGCTCGTGAAGTACTCTGAGCAATTTTTCTTCTTATACATTAGTCAGGCTAGACGAGATAATTACTGGCAATATTTCAGAGTTCCCCAAATAAGCATAACGCAGATGTGCTGGAAGGGGCTTTAATTCTAGCTTTGGGGCTTCCTCAATAAATGGCTTAGGGAGGGTCAGAGTAACAGGCCTGCCTAACTCCTCAAACTTCCCAAACACATGGACATAATTGCACGATGTATCAATTACTTGTTCATTTTCGCTCATCATCTTATCTTCAATGTCTTCTTTATTCCCAATCAAAGCTCGTTCAAGAAGATCTATGGGGAACATATAAGGCACCAATGACATATCATTAATTTCCACTACAGAAATCATGGATAGCTCTTCATAGTGGGCTCGCAATTTGAGTGCTTTGTACACATTAAATACCTCCACTTGATCTCCTACTCTCATCATTATCTTTCATTCGCATACATTAATAATAGCTCGGCCTGTGGCCAAGAATAGACGCCCCAAAATAAATGGGACTTCCTGATCAGGCTCGTAGTCCAAGATAATTAAATCATCAAGAAATACGAAAGAACCCACTTGAACTAACACATCTTCAATCACTCATTTCGGATGAGCAAGGGAGCGATTAGCCAACTGTAAGATTACCGTTGTTGGGCGCGGCTCACCCAAACCCAGCTGTCTGAACACAGATAGCAACATCAGATTGATGCTCACTCCAAGATCACATAAAGCTCACCCGACTGCGTGTTTACCAATCGAGATTTGGATTGTGAAACTACCTGGATCCTTCAATTTCTGAGGTAGCTTGCTTTGGATTCTAGAGCTACATTCCTCAGTGAGTGCCACAGTCTCGAATTCAGTCAGCCTCCTTTTATTTGCCACTATGTCCTTGATGTATTTTGCATATTTGGGTACTTCTTGCAGGATGTCTACCAATGGAATATTTATTTGCACCTGCTTCAAAATATCATGAAATTTTTTATACGCGACATTATCCTTCACTTTCTGCAATCTTTGAGGGAACGGAGGTGGTGGCCTTGAAACTAATGGTGGGGGTTGCTTAGCCACCGCCTCTTCAGCTTGCTTCTCAGACTCCTTTGATTTTTCTGATTCTGACTCTATAGTGGCCGACTTCTCATTAAAGATTACTTGTTTTCTCTTTTTCGACTGGACTTCTTCTAATTGTCTCTCATTCCTTAATGAGACAACATTAATAGATGCCTTAGGATTAGCCTCAGTGTCACTTGGAAGAGCTCCAACTGGTCGAGTATTTTGGGCATTGGCAAGTTGTCCTATTTGGTGCTCCAAATTTCTCATTGCTGCGGCTTAGGCTTGCTGGTCAGCCACCAATTTCTTCATCATTTTCTCAAGGTGACTTGTTGAGTTTGCATATTGTTCAGTCTGAGTTGGTCTATATTGTTGTTGAGGTACTTGTGGTCGGTATTGATTTTGAGCACCTTGGTTTCCACCCCAAGAGAAGTTTGGATGGTTCCTCCAGTTGGGATTGTAAGTATTCCCATATTGGTTTGTCTGGCCCCTATTTGCATTACCCACAAAGCGGACAGACTCTGGATTAACTGGGCATAAGTCGCTCGTGTGACCCTCTCCACATACTTCACAAAACACTTGAACATGTTACACTGGTTGAGCTTGCTACTTAACCTTGTTAATAACCAAGGTCATCTGATTGACTTGGTTGGTTAGTGTAGAAATTTGCGCTGATAATGCCGAGACGAAATCTAACTCGAGAACCCCTGCAGATTTTTGCACCGTGTGTCTGCCCATTTCTCCTTGCCAATCCGGATTGCTTTTGGAGAATTTGTTCAATAATGCATATATCTCGTCAAAACTTTTCTCCAACACTTGACCACCAGCTACAACATCTACCACAATTTTTGTCTCAGGATATAGCCCTTTTATGAAAGTGTGAGCTAACACTTTGTTTGTCTGATTATGATGAGGACAATCTCTGAGCAGCCCCTTGAACCTCTCCCAAGCTGAGTATAGAGATTCCCCCTCTTTCTATTTGAAGGCGACTATCTCACTTCTGATCTTTGCAGTTTTGCCTAAAGGGAAGAACTTTGCCAGAAATTTCCTTGCCAAATCATTCCATGATGTAATAGAATTAGATGGTTCTGCCTTTAGCCATTGCTTGCTTCGCCCAACAGAGAGAATGGGAAAAGTGTGAGCTTCCCATAGTCTGGAGTGACCCCATTAGTGATGTACGTATCACTAATCTTCAAGAAGTTCAGGATATGCTGTTGTGGATCCTCGTGTGAAAGACCCATAAACTGCCCATTTACATGAAGTAGCTAGATCATGCTCTGTTTCAGCTCAAAGTGCCCAGTAATTCTGGGCTTCACAATGCTGGAGTTGACATTAGCAATGCTGGGCATCGCCACCTCCTGAACAGCCATGTGTTTCTCCTCTGCCATGTTCACAGGAAATTGAACGAGTGCCTGAAGATTATTTGTATCCCTTGCTTCCGTCAACCTCCTATGAAATGTTCTCTCAGGTTCGGGGTCAAAGACTTGAAGCCTGTCCTGGCTTCTGACCCTACACATTCAATCAAAGTTCCTGAGATCATAGCAACAATCAAGTAACGTTAGACTTGACGAAATAAACAATTAAAGCAAAAACTAGAAAGTAGTCGATATACAAGTCCCTAGCAACGACGCCAAAAACTTGATGCTCCCAAACGTACACGCAAGTATACGTGGTCGTACAAGTAATAAAATGATAAGTCGAGTATCGAACCCACATAAACTTGTATAAACTACCTACTAAAATCACCAAGATTGTTATTCAGTCAAGCTAAAATCGAGTTCAAGAATGTGATTATACTAAACTATAATTCTAAGTAGTAACTAAATTATCAAGTAGTAAAATAATTGTGGTGTATTCAGTAGAGATAAATATTCTAGGGTAGTGATCGATTCACCAATCCTATTATGTTCTAGTTAACTCTCCATTTCATACAATTCACTCATGGTTGCTAATTAATCAAACAATTGCTCTCACAGCCTTCTCTCGAAGTACTACTCGCCTATTCAAAATAGATTAACGCCTATATTTTTATGGAATCAATCTATCAAAGAACGCATTAAGATTACGATATTTAATTAAGCACGATGACTAGGTATATTCCTATCCTAACCACAAATCCGCCTCCCCTAAGAATTAAGTTCGTGCTCTTTTCAATTCTTCTCTAATCTAAATATGGCTTTCCCAAGCATAACATAGATAGTAAATAGAACCTAACTGCTGGCCAGACAATTAAGTAATTAATCACAGAATTGAAGAAACAACCATATATTAGTGAATTATAATCAAGGTTAAGTCAACGTAAAGCAACAATATTCATGGCTAAATCACAACCCCAGAACTATGTGTTTTTAGCCACTCACGTTCGTAGTAACAATTTTTCAAGTATTGTGCATAAATAAATTATAAATAAAAGATAAAGGGATGAAGAACTTGATGATTTTCTTCTCCACAAGTTGTCACCGTGATGCTCTTGACTTCGGTCGCCAAAAAACACCTCTAAGAATGTTGTTTAATGGTTATTTATATGTGTAGGGAAGTGACCTAAACGGAATAACCAAATCCAAAACCAAATAGGAGACAAAATAGGCTTTAAAAATCCGGAATATCCTCGCTACAGGCCTCGCCTCGCAAGGCAAAACGCACGCCTCGTCTCGACGTACACTGTGCCTCGCAAGCTCTGTAGCGAACTCCTCCTCGCTTTAGGCCTCGTGTCGCACTCTCAAACGCGAGCTAGAAAGCTTGCGTCGCATGCTCTATCGCGAGCATTACATCTCGCGTCGCCTGCTTTTTTTCATTTTTCATTCTGTTGCTTTGTCTTTGATTAGAAGCATTTGGATATAAGAAACGACTTTCGCTGCTTCGTCCCACTTTCAATTCTTCTTTATTTCTTTTCAATTCTTTGTTTCTTCTTTCGTTCCACTTTCAATTCTTGCTTTGTTTTTTTTTTTGGTCTCTTTAATCATTGCTCCATATAGCATCATAATGCTTCTAATTAATAAATAATCATGGTCCATTCTTGTAGTGTATAAAATACTCATAAAATCTCTACTTTGCTTTTAATTTTGTGTTCAACGTACCTACACATAAAATAGACTCAATTAAGCACAAATATAGTATAGTTTAGCATTAAAGCCCCAAAATACAAGGTAAGTAATGCGCTAAAAATATGGAATTATAGCCAAACATCACTACCCCATACTTAAACGTTGCTCGTTCTCGAGCAAATTAAACAACGCTTTATATAGAAATGACCTTTTTAAACCATTCTCCTAACTCATCACACCAAGAATCATTAAAATAGACTAAGCACAAGGGTGTAACATCTTCACCTCAAGATTTGACTCTCAAGTATCATGCATTATTCACAACTCACTCACTTACTCTAACATAGAGGTCAATGACATTACCTTTTCTTCATGAATCAAGTGCCCTCACACAACAAAAGAGATTAGTTCCACACATAATAAAATTTAAGAACAACTAGGAACTCAAGATGGAAAGAATTCACTCACTCTCAGAAATAACATTCATATGCCACAAAAGATGCGCCATAGGCTTGCCTGTAGTATACTACTCTACTAATCGAGCTCATTCGATCTAGGATCAAGTAGGACTTTAATTGGTTGTAATGTAGGCTGCAGGTCGGGTAGGATACATTTGGATATAAGAGTAACTACACTTTCCTAAGCACTTTAATACATATACTTTAACATTCAAACCCCATACTTATGTGATTATGTCAAACCATAACTCCACCTTCACATCAATGTTTATTAACTCCATACTTCTTTAAGCACAATTACATCAAGAGTCACCACTATTAAGGAGTATTTTTCACGGCAATACAATTATATATATATATATATATATATTTTCAATTCAAGTGGCTCTTATTTTTTCAAAACAGTGCACCTTTCTCCTTATTTCATTAGTTTCACTCAAAAGCCAAATCAACCACCCCACACTTTAATTTTTACAAAGTTCATAACAATTCAAGTGCTCATAAGAGGTTAAAAGGTTCAAAAAATTGGTTAATTCAAACAAATGGGTAAGGCTTGTAATGTGGTTGCCAAGGAAATAGGATTACAGGCTCAAAGGGGTTAACTAGTTACATAACAATTAGGCGGGTAAACTACACACATCTGGCTCAACAAAGAAACGCCTATATTACTTCTAAGACTAAACAAAACTACTATTTCGCTTTGCAAATACACAGGGCAAGTTCTAGACATCAAATGCAATGCACAAAATAATACACAAATCTCACACACACATGACACATAACTCACTCAGGATTGAACTCATCAAGACACTCTAGTCAAAACAGTTAAATAAAGTTAAGATCATGCGATCTAAGGTACTTATACAAGAGTCAAAAACTGAGCCTAAGCGTCACAACCAAAGTACTCACTATTCTCAAGGCATAACAAAGTCAAGAGATATTGCTTCAATTCAATTCATCTCCCAGTGGCTCCTACTTCTAAAAAAATAAAACTACCTACACCCGGTTTAAACAAAACCCTTGGAAAAGAACCGCGGCACAAGGCAAAACCAAGGGGGAGTTATTACACTACCTAACAAAAGAAAATCTTTTTGTCCTTTTTCTTTAGACTTAAATCCCTCAAGAAATTTGTCGAATGAGATCCATCGTTGGAAAAAATCTAATTTTTCTACTTTTTGTTTCGTTTTTTTTTTTTGTGAATTGTTACTAAAATAGTACACAACTACGAAAACAAAAATAAAAAGTTAACATTTTTCTAACATACTACTACTAATTATTTAGAGAATTCTCCCACCCCACACTTAAAAGAGTACAATATTCCCAAAACAGATATTATAGACAAGCAGATTTACGTTTTGAGCGTATGGGTGCTGGAGCATTCATTGGCTTTGGCCAGGTTGTGTTATATATTCGTAGATAATACTTAAAAATTTAAATAATTGACCACGAGCATTTACTGTGATCACGTTTGACCACTGTAAATTTATACTAAAATAAGTGAAGCACCCGTTTTATAAATTCTGAATCCGCCGCTGATTATTGAAGCCGTGGATCAAACAGCAACCACGGGAGGGACCTTGGCGTTATTGGCCCATTCACCTGGCTCAATTTCCATGTTACTGATGCTCTTTAGCAATATTTGAAAAGAAAGTACTCTTACAAGTTATTTGTTACTCCATTGTTTTGAGCGCAATCGAAATGGAATCTGAGGGAGACGAAGCCTCTCTTCTACACCCAAAGCGGAGCAAACCCACTAACCATTCTCAAT